TTTACTTTAAAAAATTAAAATTACTATTATTCACTTATTTTTGTTAAAATAATGATTATTTTCATTCACCTCTATCATTTTTTATTATGTTGTTCAAGTCAATCTTTATTATTTAAAATAATTTATGCTACAAAGTATAATCACTTTAATTACTATGATTGTTGTAGTATGATTCCATATGTAAACAAAACATGTGACAAAATGAAAAATGGCAATTAATCATGAAGTCTTATTTGACTCAAATAAAAGTAAAAAAACTTAATTGAACAGAATAAAAGAATAAAAATTTATTTGAATTATCTTAACTAGTTAAAAAACTTTAAAATATAATTTATTTTCAAGTTTATTTATTAATTGATTTAATTATTTTCCTTATTTTTTAAACTCTTATGAGATATTGATATAGTATTGTGACTAACACTTGGCATGAACATGGTAACTCCACAGAATAACTTATTCCAAGATCCAAATTTCAATATTGTCCAGGTGTGAGGGGAGATACGAAGTGTCGCTCCGGCATCGAAAAGATTGCCAGACGACCAATCATGTGACCGTCAGAAGCATCAGTAGAGGCTTGGCGACAGTTAAATATCCATGATACAAGCACTTCGGAGATCCCCACACTCTTTCCTCACGTCCTCTGTAACGATGCTGTTTTATTACGAAATGAGATGAATACTCTTGCCTCTTGCACCATTAACACTTTCATTCAGGAAAATCTTACCTCATTCAACAAACAAACGCAAATCAAGCTAAGAAAGAGATAATGAAACATTTTAGCATCACACTGATTACCTCAATTTTATTTTTTTTTGTGGGTACATGTTTTCTTAATTTACATAATGAAACATAATCCTTTTCTATTCATAAAACTCAATATATCCATTCTAAAATTTGAACTCAAAGGCCTCTGAAGTGAGTTTTGCACAAGTATGAAAATCAATGAACATATGATCCCTATTCATGTTACAAAACTTCGCTGCTCACAATAAGGTATCAATTCTAACCTTATAGCTTGTTGGTACTCACCTCAAGCCTCCCTCTGAGCTCATCTTGCTTCATCAACCAGACAGCTTCCTTCATTGGTGATGTTTCAGAAACAAAGAATGGACAGGTTCTCTTGAACGCAAAAAAGTGGCTGAGAGAACACTTGCATCTAACATCACCCTAAAAGGCTGGCGTAAGAAACACCTGTATGTATCTAAACAGCCATCTAGAGTTACTCCACAGCAGCTGTCCTCTTTTCCAATAATGATTCAAGGAAACCTGAACACAATTTGGTGAGTGGTGGCAAATTATGAGATGATCCTGTGAATATGGATTCCCAAGGTCTCTCTGATGGAAACGATGGAACCCAAGAAGTCTGGGTTCTCTTCATGTCAAACTCTGGTAGCTCACCATAGATGGACGCATACCCAAACTGCCCTGCTTGTCCTGTCATATGAGAGGTAAAGAACCGGGAAAAAGATAACAGTAGAATTAGTCATGAGATAAAGTCATTGCTGCAATAACCTATCATCATTAACTTAAATTCATGTGTTTTTTTTTTCAATCATAATAAGAAGAGCCCTACATAGATCAGAACCCTCAAAGGACAGAATCATACAAAAGTTCTCAACCAGCATGTGATAGGTTTATACTTCACAATCTCAGCTAAACACAGTGTAAATCTATCATTTCATGGGATAAATAAAACAGGATAACTAGAGCACCTGACAAATTAAAGCATCTCATGGAAAAGCTATATTTGCTTTGCCCATTAATAGTGATGATAGTGCACTAGTGAAGAAGATCATGAAATTGATTTGGATATAAATGAGGTTACAACTATTATAAGAAAGACTCACCTTTCTGTTCAAGGGCAGCGAGACCTTCCTTTCGGCTCATGCTAACCTCATGGGCATCTTTGCTGTATGGGTCAAAGAGAACATATTCATGATCACCATTCATGTATGCAAGCATCACCTGAGGTGTTTTTCCATCTATGCTGATTTCTTCAACAGAAGATGGGTTTACTTGAAGAAAACCAAGAGCCCCTCCCTTGGCCTGCAAAATGCAAATAGAGTATAGACATAATTCTGCCCCTATCATCCTGCACTATGATTGACAAACATGCTGATATCGGAGCAGAATACAGTACCACTAAAGATACAGTTAACAATGGTATGGGATGGCATGCAACAAGATTTCAGTTTCTATATGAATATACAGAGTATAGACACACACACACAAATCATCATCAAAAGAATTTCGGTGGTATATGCACTTAAAATTACTTATAAGTCAATTGTTAGGAGAGAAATGGGTGAAAAGTACAACATTAGAGCTCTCTCTCTCTCTCTCTCTATATATATATATATATATAATATTATATTATATCTATCTATCTATCTATCTATCTATATATTATTGTTCTTTCAGGTTAGCAATAAAGGTTGTGTTTCTCTATTGCTTCTTGTTGAAAAATTACAAGGATCTCCTAGCTCCTCTCCATGTTTGCGCTGTCACCCATACATAAATAGACGTCTTGAAACTCAGAATGCAAAACCTTACAGGGGCAGAGCAAATTTCCATTATCATAGGGAAGTGGTACTGATTGCTTATCACCAGCTAGAACTCAAAATAACTGTTTCAAAGGTTGCTCATGCAAACAACAGCAAATCTTAAGACAACCACAATTGCTCCCTGGTGCTCCAAGAGAATGATATTATAACTGTTTTCATTTGATATTTCACAGATTTCATTAAACTTTTCCATTTGGGTTGGCAGATGATAAAAGTCATATCATTACAAGTAAAATACAAAGAACCCAATAACCAATTGAAATTATTTTCTTCAGTATATAATGTTGTAGCAATATAATTGTCTATATACTTGAACAAAAGAAAATTTTAAAAAGACTTTCTAAATGCTAATAAATAATGTTTAAGCTATTAGACCTGCCTGACTGCATGTATTTGTCTAAGGAAATATTCACAATTCTTAATAAATTTGATCTTGGGCATATTTATTTATCCATCTTCATCACAAGCTAAGTTTTGCACTTCATTCCAATGATAATTAGAAATGAATTGAGATCATACCTTCTTCACAGACCAGATTGCAGTAGGAACAGGATCAGTTGCATTGTATAATAATATTACACCATCCCTTTCTTCAAAAGTTGTTTCATTAGATGATTCAGGAAGAAGGGCCAGAGCAGCAAAATAAGATAAATCAACAGCTGAAGCTACAGCTGCATAATACAAGAACGTAAAAATTTAACATGGCCAGATACAGCAACCCAAGAAAAAACACATTTTGACTTGACACATATGTCATATGCATAAAATTAAGCATGCCATAACCCATATGAGTATGGTAGCACAGGGTATAAAATAAGGCAAGCAGTTTCCAACACTACAAATCAATAACTTCAACTACTAACAAAATCCACTAAATTTTACAAATTGGAATGTCACAGAGCAGTTTTGACTTTTGCCATCATGGAGAAAGGATTCATCGAATATGATAAATCACGAATAAAAAGAGGACAGCAAGTATATTTTTATATTTGTTTGCATAATTTACATAAATTATCTTTTCACTAATAGTGAGATAATGTTCTAGCTACTTTAAATTAAGATTACCAGCACAGGGTTTGTTGAATACTCGAAAATTCGCAGTTCAGATATTTGTACTAAGTTGCTGATGCATTTGACATGCATTATTCAGACTTCTCTAAGGTATTCAACAATGTTGACCAGTGTTTCACAATTGTACATGTCAACAGGCTAAATCAGAAAAAATTATAATTAGCACAAGTGCCACTTAGAATGTAGTCGATTGACATTGAAAATGAATATTTACAGTGGTTTAATATTTTAAATGCGTTTAATAACTCATTTTCAAAACTTTTTAAATGGACGATTTTCAATGAAAAAGAGCTGAAACTCTTAAATAGTTAAAAGCTACTTAATGTATCCAATCATTCTTATTTAAGGAAAAATTTGTCATTTAAATACATTAAACTTATATTCTTTCATTTTTAACTATTTATTTTTCCTTTTTAATATTTATTAATGTAAAATACATATAAAAGATCAACAAAAAAATCTATTTAATATTTAACTTTCAGTAGAATACCAAATATTTTTACAGTAGAGATTCAATACTTAATTTTTTCAGAACTAAAAATTCATTACTTAATTTTTCAGTGTTCAATTTTTCAGTTTACCAAATAGCACCTTAGTTTAGCAATCATCAAAACCTTGTCTTGTTATTCCATATCAAAATGACTTATATATCACAACAATCTGCCTTAAGCTTTCCAAAAACAAAGGCATACAACTTAAAGAAGGAGGATCTAACATTTATTGCTTTGATAATTGTATTTAGATATTAAATCTTTCTTTTATGGCTATAAAAACTAATACTAGTTATATTCAGAAAAATTTGAACATGGGACCTCTCCAGGTCATAGAAGATCGATGATGTTTGCAAAAAATATCATTAGCTGAAAAGAAAAAGTGTTTCACCTTCTGTACGAAGCTTATATGACCAAGATAGTGATAACTTTGACATACTCCAGACAGACAGTTGTGGCTTCGAACCACGTGATGCAGCAACAAGATTATCTGACATCCCAACAAATGATAGGGTAACAATTGGCTGTGGGACAAAAAAAACATAGAAACAATTAACCCTAAACTAAAGATTTAAACATACAAGATACATGCATGCATTAGCAAAGACAGAAAGCCATATTCTGTCAAATGGAGGAACTCCATATTTCATTTGATAGGGATAGAGAAACTCTATTTATAAACAGCAAACAGAAAAAAGGAAATGGCTCATGTTCCAACAGAAAAGGAAATTGAATTCCAAAATTTTGCTTCTTTAGCTTTCCATTCTTGTAGACAAGTTTAACCGATTATTCCCTTATTTAGTAAATACTCTTATGCATAGGTTCCTGCCTGTCCATTCTATCCTGGTCAGATCAAGAATGTGGTTACTTTTCTGTTTCCAGCAGACACTTAATAACAAGCAACAAATTAAAAAGGTACAGAACCATTGAGACATACCCTTGAGATAACTAAAGTCTAAAGCTGTTGGCAAAGACTAAGCAATGTTAAGTGTACAGACATTTATTTACTATAAGGAGGCGTCGAAGTGATCCACAAAAGGATCCAAAAAGGACCAAACCATGATGGCTAGGCCATGCCTGTTACCCTGAATTTATATGCTAGTTGTTTTATTAATATATGGTTTCCACAGCACAAATAGGGAAAGACAGATGGTACTAATAACATAATTACCGTGAGAGTTTCCCCAAGTACAGCCAAGAGATCATTCTTGTATGGGTTCCATAATGTAATAAGGGTTTCTGCTGCAACAGCAAGAACAGAACCATCAGCAGAAAATGCAGCAGCAGTCATCGGCTTTTTTCTGCAACAGGGGAGACAATAGTTTAGAATAACAGAGATTGATATCTTTTAATCCCCATGCTGCGTAGGGAAGATAATATATCAGATTAATACGTGTTTTAAACTACCATTCTGTCTCTTTCCATGCAGAAGGCATATCTCAACATGTCAAGTTCTAACATTTAAAGTACCAAGTGATCACTGATTGATTAATTTGAAACACAAAAGAAAATGTAGAATATGCCTCATTGAAATTAAGACGCCTTTAATGCAACAAAAAATCCTTGTAAAATCAATTTGCGCTCAAGTATAGCATTCCATCTATGCAAGTTTTCTAATATACTAGTTAATACATCTGTCTTGGGCATGTAATACCAGCCTCCATGGGACAAGAATTGCATGTAAATTTAGAAGTCATACTTATAAGAACCAATAGCATGGCAAATCCAGCTAGAATTCTGACGCATCTGATCATTCTGTGGACTCTCATTGCTGCATATCCAAACCTGATATATCAGAATAAACCAAAAGATAAGGTTAATTTCATTGGAAATAGAGCACAGAACTCCAAAAGCATGCTGATCCAAGATTACCTTGAAGTCACCACCATAAGATGAACTAACCGCCATATCACCAGCAGGTTGGAATGCAACAGCAGAAATGGCCGCATCCCTATAAAACATCAAGTATCATCATATATTCATTTCTACTTCTGATACATTAAAAGATAGTATATTCTAATCAACATGCAATTCAACCGTCACTCTTTAACAGAAACAAATACATAAGAGAAAATCTGGGGGGAAAACATTCAAGAGCAAGTGCTTTTTGGACAAAAAAGAGGACAAGTTTATTGTCACCAGAAAAATTGAACTCCAAAAGCTTAAAGTTCCATCTTTTCATACATCATGGCAGAATGAAAGTAGAGCTAGCAATGTGGTCTATCATGCACAAAACAGTTCATCAGGCATTTCACATCTTCGATTTTTCAGGGGGAAGGGGGTGAATAAACCAGTTCACCTGTGTGGTTCATAAACAATGGTTGACAAGCTAAACTCTTTGTTCTGAGATCCTGATGCCCAAAACTTTAGGGAAACTAGACCACCTATGCCCTCTTCAGCAAGCTTCACTTCAGCAGTGCTCATAACAGAGCCATCAAGGGAGAGAGCCACTGCAGTCACTATTACCTGTAAAATTGGTCTTAAATGATATCAACTACGGTCAATAACACATCAAATTTATCAGAAGACATGTTATTGTAAAAGAAAACTCAATTTACCGTGACATCATCGCCTGGTTGATGGTTTCTCTCACAAACTTGAACCTGAAAGACAGCATATTTAAGAAATTTTCAACTTCCACCTTATTCCAAAAACTAGGAAGTTATGGTACAAAAATTTGTATTCCATGATAGGTACAGCACATATGCAAAAAGAATCCATATACAATTTGATTTGTCCCACTAACATCCACTAGGCTAGATGTCCGTTAAGATTTAAGCAAATGAATAATAATATGCTCACCTCAGAAATTCCACGATCATCAAATAGGCTGTAAAATTGTATGCAATAATTCTCTGTGCGTAAGGCAACCAACCCAGCAGTTTGATCAAAAGCAATCCCATTACCCAACCCTTTATACATCTCAGGATAAGAGCATCGAGCCTGAAATGTACAATACATACGAGTAACTAAGTTCTATTAGCAGAAAATAGAAATACATATACCAAGGTGGACCAAATAAAAGGTCCCAGAACCAGGCATTGAATACTGTCCACATATCCTATGAACTAACTTAGCAGCATATTTACGAATTACTTTTTAAGTTCACAACCATAAGGTGTAAGCAATTTTGCACATTTACACATTATCATGGAAGTGCATATCCATGGTGTCAACCATCACCAAGAACAGTAAATCATTGATATGGGATCCATCAACATTATATGCACAATTAATATCAGCAAATTATCCAGTTCATTGTATGGTCAATTCAGTCAATCAGATACTTGATAATCACAACAACATAACTAGAAAGGAAAAGGTTCATGAAATTGTGGACATGCAGATCAGAACAACCTTTATCCCCGAAATAGTCTTCAAAATTCCCATTGAAGGCATTTTCAGTAGGTGAATTTGATTATCTGCACATGATATCTGATGACCCTCAGTTAGTACTTAGTACGATAACTACAACTAAATACTACTCTCTTAAAGAACAAAAAGCAATAACACAACTGTTGACAACAACTTCTACTGACAGAGGAAAGGGTAGGATCAAGAGAGTCCACAAAATACAGCAGAGGAGATCCAATTCGTGGCAGAAATTTCTTCTTGCCTGTGTCTAGTTGCCAAACCACAAGCACTCCTTCCTTACCACCTGAACACTTGAAAAAGCCAGTGTTATAAATAGAAAACTGGCTTCAGTGAGTGTATGAACAAGAAGGTAGAGGAAAAAAACAGTGGAAGTGATTGATTTGAAGCACATTTTAGACAATTAATTTAGCCAACAACCAAAAGGGTTAATAACGAAGTTAAAACATATACCCACTTTGTCTATTGCCAATGAAATTTGTAATTTATCATATGCAAGCACTCAACAAAATGCACAATGCCGCTAATCTGGGGTCCACATAAAACAAAAATATATTCAGTTGGTGAACTACTACCAGCCTTTATATTTGTAAAAAGACAAATATTGTGGAAAATTACAGAAACAAAAGGCCAATCCATTCTCATCCTCATGCCAGCATAATTGCAAGAAACCCCCAGAAAGAGAAGTACACAAAAGTTCATGATTTATACATGTATATCAATTTTCAGTTACCTGAATACAAATATGCGCCATCCGAAGAGAAAGAGAGGACATTGACTACAGTAGGGTGCCAATGCCATGTAGAGCACAAATCAGCATCATCATTATCCCTCACACCAGGTTGGTCTTCTTGAACATCTATCAACCTTTCATTCACTCCTCTATTTCCTATAGCAAAAGTTCTATTGCCAAATCCCCTCCAAATTAAAATTCTCCCAGTCACATCCCCTGCAGCTACAATTCTCTGAGTTGGATGGAATGCAATGACAGTAATCTTCTTTGTATGATGTAGTGTTATCTTTGTGACTGCTGCATGCTCAGACCCTGGATCAGGAACCTTCCATACATGAAGCTTACACTTATTTTGGATGCCAAAAAATTTTCCTGAAGGACTAACAGTTAAAACCTCTGGCTTTTTTGTCTGTAGAAGAAAGAGACAAACATAGTATCATTCATCAAAATTATAATCCTTAAAAAAAAGGGGGAGCAGAATCCCACCTTTTTAAATGACTCCAAACATGCTCTAAGCTCAAAACTCAAGTATGCCAAAATCATCATAATAACAAATGTAACTCTCTTTCAGGAGGGAAGCAAGAGAGTTTTCTCACAAGATTTTTATGCCATAGTCATAGTAAGAAAACACCACATTAAGAAACATCTCTACTCTCCCCATTCTCAATGTTGAACAATTTTTTAATGTTCAGGCAAACATTCCTAGCACCATATCACATCCAGTCACTTTAATTAGGCTAAAGCTATGTACAGCATTTCTCATAGCATTAATTTTATTAAGTCAAAGTCGCAAGGTCTGTCTCTAGTTACTTAGTAAGGCAAATCACACCTGCTTCACATTTTCAAAAGCTATACATACAAACAGAAAAGAAGATCTGTAGAAATCTTTCGGATTATACCTCTCCCAAAATTAATCTACCAACTAAACGAGATTTGCTTAAGTTACACTTCCGGATTTGTCTCCGCAAGCCTTTAGGCTTCTCTTTTGTTTCCTTCATATCTTCAGCAGACACATATGCGAAAAGGTCTCGGCGCTTTTCATTATCCTCAGCCGGAACGTCTAGGAAAGATGGAATCACCTACCATCGGAGATAAAATAATCAACACTCACTAAGAATTATGGTAAGAAAAAGAAAGCGAAAATTTAAAATAAGAACAATGAAGGAAAAGAACAACTCTATGCACTCATTTCAAGCACTCAAATAAATGTATAAGTAATAAACAAAAAAGAAATCTAGGATGCACTTATTTCAATCACACAGATCAATGCATGAACTTTTAAGCAAATTAGACTTGATTTGAGCAACCAGATTTTCTTCTTGTGATGGTTAGCCAATATCAATTCAATTTGTCATGTATGGTAATGACTAATCCTCGTCACTATTAATACTCATTAATAGCTTTTCATTATAAAGTAACTCAGTCCAATAAAAATAGAAAAAATGTCACAACAGAACATCTACAACAGAATTAGCCGGGATCTTAATTAAGTTTTGAAAATTGTGATATAATAGCACAACTACCAGTTATAATGAGCTTATAATATTCAATAAATAAAACTTTTTTCATTATTACTTTTACTACTATGACTTTGTTTTTTCTCAAAAGCAACATAATAGATTAAAAATAAGGAAACGGCTAAACTGTAACCCGCATTCAAACATGTTTTATTAACAAAAATTTAAAAATTTTAATTCCGAAGTATTGAAACAAATGTCAAATGCTTACCATGGAGAAAATTGGCATTCGAATATCGATAGTCTTCATTAACTCAGGCACCGAAAAATCCCAATAACGAATGGTACCATCAAGCGAGGCGGTCCAACAATAACACAAAACCTTGGCGGCTGGATTCGACGCTGGCACCACGATGACCGAGGTGACAAGCGCTGTGTGACCCTCAAGTGAGGTTATCTACGCCCAACCAAAAAGAAAAAGAATATTGAAATTTCGGAAGATGAAGCGAAGAAGAAACAAAAAAAAATGAAAAAGAAAAAACCTGCAAGCCGGTGGCGGTGCTGAAGATGGAGACGGTGTTGGCGGTGCAAACAAGGAGTTTCCTTGCGTCGTTAGAGAAAGCAGGAGCTGAAGACACGAAGCTTCGACCACCTCTCATCATTGTTTTTCTGTGAGAGAGACTTTCTTGCCTGAGAGGAAAAGAATGTTAGTCTGAAGTCGTCGGCCCTGCTTGCTCCTTGCCAAAGCCCTAGCTAAAACCCCATTTTAATATTTTTCTTCTTTTTCGGTTCGGAGGGGTTTTTTAACTGCTGAGCTGGCGCTTTCCAGTATAAGCAACTTTTTCTCCTTAATTGAAAAAAAAAATCTTAAACAATTTTAAAAAATACAAATAAATATTTATTTGTTTATTGCATTTAATAAAATTTGTGTATTTTTATTTTTAATCAAATAAATTATTATATTTTTATTTTAGGTTAAATTAACTCTTACAATTGAAAATTGATTTAATCAAAATATCTCTTATCATTTAAGATTATGTGACATTAGTATGACATATTAAAATGATACAATTAATGATAATATAACATACTAACATATTACAATAAATAATGATATACCATGCTATGAGGTAGTTTTTACCCTCTACATCAATACCGCATCATATCATATAGATATGAAATAACAAGTAGTATTTTAATTAATAAAAATTACTCAATCATTCGTTATAAGGATTTATTTGATCGAAAATAAAAATGTATGAGTTTAATTCAATATAATAAAAGAATAAGGACTTATTTGAATTTTTTAAACTATTTCAAGGATTTTTTTTGAACACTATGCTATTTAAAAATGAATAATATGATATTTTTAATATGCAACTAGCATTTTATGATCATTATAAATATATAGTTAATAAGTTATAAATGTAATAATACAATGTATAGCATTATAAATATATAGTCAATAAGTTAAAAATGTAACAATATAATGTATTATCTAGCCTATATTGATTTCTACCTACATACATTCTTCACATCTAACACCTATTCATGGTATTTTATCAATTTAAAAGAGTAATTTCAATTTTTCATTTCTTTTCTCCTTTCTTCCTGACTCCAATTCCTTCAGAATAGGCAATGTTTGAGACCCAGCTACTCTTCTACTCCCACACCAAATTTTTAAAGCTTTCTTGTTCCTTCTGATGTTGTTTGTCAAAATTGATGCATCAACGACCATATTAGAATGAGCAATGTTTGAGACTCATCGATTGAACCTAGCAGCTCCTCTTTCACTCTTACACCAAATTTTTAAAGATTTCAAAAATTTGACTCCTTTAAGAGATGGTTGCTAAAATCTCGCCTGTCTTTGCATTTGATTTTTTTTTTTTTTTTAATTCTGGCACTCCTTTCTTACGTACACCTCTTTTTTTGTTTTCCTTCTTTTGTTTTCTATTTTGAGCCTTTCTCTAAATTCTTTACATCTAAAAATTATTTTTCTAGTCTTAAGGTATTGGTTTAGAATCACAAGTGGAGGATTTGGGGCATAAAGATCATTCCAGTGCTATTAGGCATGTGAATATGGTTTACTATGCCAATACTTTGCTATTGTGGATTTTTCATCCAATTCTAACGTTTGCTGCCTCAATGATTATGGCGATGAGTTTGCATATACTTGATAGAAAAGCTGCCCTATTACATAGGTTTGAACCGGCAATTCCATCTTCAATTGATTTTAGCAGAACTTCCAACAATTGAAAACAACAGTATTTTGTACTTATGTTTAGGATCTTTTTGTGGCTAGCTTGAATAAAATCTTGTACAACTGTTGTATTACTCTGCATACCTTAAAGATCTAAATTTTGACCATCTTCCCATACATCATTATAGACGAAATCCAAGTTTAGCCCCTCTATATCCTTTACATTGAATGTTTGGTCTAAATATTTGAACTAAAAATTCTATGGTTTTTCACATTGGAGGTTCAATGTTCAACATAAGAGATGTAGAAGACTCTAATAATAGTTGTGGAGGTGCTATGGGGGCAAAAGGGCGTTCTAAAATTGACTATAACCACACGTGGGTAACATGTAAGGATAATTGATGTGGAATTAAAATGGGGATGTCGAATATTAAGTAATTTTTTTCTTTTTCACCTTTTGTAGTCTTTTCAATGTAGTGTTTGTCTCTTATTTTTATTTCTTCTTTTATTTGCTTTATTTTTTTGTTTCCATTCTTTACTTCTTCTTCTTCTTCTTTTTACTTTGGTTTTTCCACAATATATGAAAAGTAAGTTTTAGTATCTTGCTTGTGGTCTTAGTTTTAAAGCTGTGACATTTCAAAAGAGAGCCGCTCAGAAAGGGGCATAATTCCAGCTTCCAAGGGTAGTGTAGTTGAAGAGTGTTATGTTAGCACATGCTCAGATGTGTTTTGAGTTTGTAGTTGAATTTGGAGCATTATTGTCCTTTCACTAACACTTTTGACTTTTGAAACTAAATGTGCTCTTCCTTTCCATATGAATAATTGAACTTTGTTTTTTTTTTTTTGTTTTTTAAACTAGTTTTCTTTTTAAAGATCACAAAATAATATGATGTATTGCTTGTCGTCTTATTTTTGAAGCTTTGACATCATTTATTGGATGCTCTTCGTTTACATCTAAAGTTTGCAGCATGTTTAGTGTTATAGATATTTCTTTGTGCCCACGTTAAATTCTATTCATTTGAACTAATTTCAGAATCTTTCATCATCATATTGTTCAGACCCTTATAATTTTTTACTGTCAATATTTAGTTCCTTATGATCATATGATGAAATTAATTACCTTACTCATTGTCCTTATTTAGGTAGTATTAAATTTATCCTTTTTGCACATCAATGGATTTGCTCGTAGTTCCTTTCAATTGTGCAAACGTTACCTGTTAGTAGCTTTAGTTGTATCAATTATTTTGAGTATGAACTTCTACTTTGCCTCTATGTACAATGATTGATATACTAAGTCAAATTGAGTTCTTTACTATTTTACATGTATCTTCTTCAACTCTTTTAAAACAAAATGATCTCTACCACTCTGCTCACTACTTTAACTTACCTTTTGGACCTTTTTTACTTTTTGTCTTTTTTTTTTCTCCTTTAAAGTACAATTACTCTTTCTTATCCCTTTAACTTGTCAAATTGGTTTTTTAGCTTGTGGAATAACCACTTAATGACACCTTGCATAGGTTGGGTATTAGTGTGCTCAGCAATGTTAATGTTAGAATGTGCTTCTTTCCAGTTGCTAGTGTTAATTCTCTCAAGTGCACTATTATTATAGCTACATATTTAATACATCGATATCTGGACTTTAGCTATTAAAGTGATGTTTCTACTTTCTATATGAGAATATAAATGTAGGTGAAGAGTGTTGGCCCATGGTTAGATATGTTATAAATTTGGAGTTGAATTTGGAACATTATTGTTGTCCAATAAGATGACTTGATTCCATCAAGCTCTTTATCCTTTCACAAACTCTTTTGACTTTTGAAACTAAATACGCTCTTCCATTCCTTATGAATAATTGCACTTTTTTTTGTGTCAGGTATGTTCTACTGTCAAATAATTCTCTATGTTCTTTTTTTAGAGATCACAAAATAATATCATAGCTTGCTTGTGGTCCTATTTTTGAAACTTTGACATCATATATTAGATGCTCTTGGCTTGGGTCTAAAGTTGCAGCATGTTTAGTTACATAGATATTTTCTTTGTGCACATGTCATATCATTTGAACTGATTTTAGAATTTTTCATCATTATATTGTTCAAATCCTTATAATTTTTCCTATCAATATTTAATTCCTTATGATCATATGATGAAATTACTTATCTTACTTACTATCTTTATTTAGGTGATATTAAATTTACTTTTCTTACATGTTTTGATTTTTACTTGATTAGATTACATATTCTTGATTTTTTTGTATGCATTGATTTTGATGCTGACTTTGACTCCTTAATATTGTCGTATTAATTGTACGATTTCAAAAAATTGCCATGTCTCTCTTAAGGATCTTTCATATTATTTTAAATTGTGACATATATAATCTCGAAACAATTCTTTGTTTTTTTAGGGTATGTCACCGTTAAAGCCAGGGTATTCTCTTAGGTAAGTTTAAAGTATCTCAATTAAAATATCTCCATCATCAAGTTTATATAATTAAATAATCATGATTATTAAACTTCCAAATTTCTATCATTTCCTTTTTTGTATAGGTGTTGTGTTTTTCTTTTTGTTTGATTTTTATAATGTGTTAAATGTGTCAATTAAAAATCGATTGTTTACTTTTTCTTTGTTCACATCTTGATAAATAGAGATACAGCTAAGGTTAGAATATGGAATGTGCTAAATTTTATTCTGATTGTGTTGCTCTTTTGCGTCATTGAGATGTTTTTTTGTATTCAATTATTGGGTTCGATGGTGAACTAAAAAATGTGTCTCAAAAATCTATTGATGTTTTCGTTCCTTCTCATTTTTATCATTCACGCTTCTTGAATCTGAACACAAATGAGTATCGTCAATCGTTGGCAAGCACCAGTCAAATACAAACTTCTATTGTGATTACAAACTCCAAATGGGAGCTTAGTTATAACATTGTTGAATCATCATCCTATATTTAAAATGTTAAACATGACTGTCCAAATTCTCGAAGGAGGAAAATTGTGAGCTTTAACGCTGGTCACAGAGATAATGACAACTCTCTCGAACAAGAGTTGTCTCTTGCTTTTGATGCTTCTTAAATGCTTCCTATTCCTGATGATGAAGATGACGTCTCACCATTTGATTGACAAACTGCCCACATTGAGACTAGTTTTGTTAAAGATAATTCAACTTTTATGCATTTTGATTCAAGTGAGTGTTTTTATGAATTTTCAATTTATATATAGCATTTCTTATTTTCATGATTAATTATTCTTGATTTTCCTAACCATTTATTGTCCTTCATATGCAATCAATATATTACTGCTCTATATCTAGGTGGCCCAAGATATGTGTGTTGTTATTGCAGTGCGCATATCTGATATGAAGAAAGAAAAAATAAGTCAAGGAATGAGCCAAATCCGAGATTTACCATGAGTTGCACGAAGGGCAAACTGTCTTTGCCACCTTTCATGCAAACACCTCCACTATTGGG